CTCTGTCCTACTCGTCACCTTTCAGTACTTCGGTACCTGGCTTGAATATCCGTGTCTGCAGCCTGTCAGTGTCAGGTCGGGTGGCGCTGGGCCTGATTGCATGTCCAAGGGAGGGGAGGTGCTCTCAGAAGCCTGCCTCCAACCCACCCACCTTGTTCAGTGGCTGTATGTACCCATGCACCCATGGGCCACTGTGCAGGCCTGGGCAGGTGTTTGGGGTGTTTGTAAACAGCAGGGTGGGGAGGTGGCCTCCAGGGCACTGACTCAGATGCAGGTTGTGCAAGCCAAGCGGGAAGAACAGGGTAGGCACTGTCACCTTGAACCCGTGGGGGAGGTGGCCACCTGTGGGGGGCAGGGCAGGGCATGGCACCCCTCACATTCCCCCTTTGCTCTTCCAGCCTGGTGTTTGGGATGCTGTACCCAGCGTATGCTTCCTATAAGGCTGTGAAGACCAAGAACATTCGTGAATATGTGAGTGTTGGGGCTGGCTCAGGTGGGGTAGGATGACAGCCTTGGTGGTGCGGGGTGGTGGGGGGGTATATGGTAGGACTTGGAGGGGTGGGGAGAGTCTGAACTGGCCTCCCCCTCCTCCAGGGGCATACATGGCTGACAGATCCTGAGCAGAGTGAGTGTGGATGGAGGGGGGCTATTGAGGTGCCTGTGTAGAAACTTGTAGGTGAAGCCCGTGGGGGCTGGTACAGGAATGAGAGGCAGTTTCTCAGAGGCATCTCTCTAGGGCCATCCAGGTGCCAGGGGAATGCAGCAGGACAGGCTCCCTGGCATCCGAGGGCTGGATCAGCCCAGGACAGAGGAGTTGGCTCTGCAGGCTCAGGCACTAACCTCTGACCACCACCCTCCCCGGCCCCCCAACTTCCCCCAGGTCCGGTGGATGATGTACTGGATCGTCTTTGCACTCTTCATGGCGGTGGAGGCCTTCTCAGACATCTTCATTTCCTGGTATGGGTGCAGGGGCCCTGTGGGCCGTGGGAGGGGATGTCCCACCCTCGAACTGGCCCTATGGCTGACCTTGTCCCCTGTGCTCTGACAGGTTCCCTTTCTACTACGAGATCAAGATGGCCTTCGTGCTATGGCTCCTCTCGCCCCACACCAAAGGAGCCAGCCTGCTTTACCGAAAGTTTGTCCACCCATCCTTGTCCCGCCATGAGAAGGTACCCCAGGGGGAGCAGGGATGAAGCATAGGGGTGGGTGTGAGGGAAAGGGCCCTGGACTCAGAATTCGGGACACTGGGGGACACCTAGGTTCCAGTCCTGGTCTGTGGGCCCTTGACAGAGCCTCGCCTGCTCCCTCTTCTGGGAGAACCCAATGGGGGACCACCTGAGTGGCCTTTGAGAGAGTGAAGAGTCAGCTGGAAGTGGGTTGGGAATGCGGGGAGGAGGTTGGAGCAGGCTGTTCCTTGCGGTGTGGGACTGGGTGCTCTTGGTGTGGTTGCCGGCCCACTATGGGTGGGGGTGGGCTGGGAGGTGTGGTACTCAGTGACTTCTGTGGCTCTGCAGAGGAAAAGTGACTGGGACGGTCCTCTGAGCTCTCTGTGCCCTGGTCCGTAGGAGATCGACACCTACATTGTGCAGGCCAAGGAGCGCAGCTACGAAACGATGCTCAGCTTTGGGAAGCGAGGCCTCAACATTGCCGCAACAGCCGCTGTGCAGGCTGCCGCCAAGGTGCCCTGGGGCCCAGCCCTTCATCAGACTCCCACTCCCATCCCCAGTGCCTTTTGGGCAGGTTCAGCTCTCTGTCAGTGAGCCCAGAGGTAACAGCTGTCCATAGCAGGGAACAGGGGTGAGAGGTGACAGGTGTTGGCAGAGCATGGAGCTGGAAGTTCACACTTCCTGGCTCTGACACTGACCGTGAGCAGCTGCTCCTGCTCTCTGCGCTTTAGTTTCCTGGTGGTGCCACAAAGACCTGGGACTAGAAGGTTGTCGAGTCGCCTTTGCCCCAGTGATTACCTTCTGACCGGCCTTGGTTTCCCTGGGTGGCTGCCCTGGCGAAGTGCCCCTTCCTGCTAGGAGCCCTGGCCCTCCCTGAGGTGACCTGCCACTCCCCCTTCCTTGCAGAGTCAGGATGCACTGGCCGGAAGGCTGCGTAGCTTTTCCATGCAGGACCTGCGCTCCATCCCCGACACCCATGCCCCCAACTACCAGGACCCCCTCTACTTGGAGGACCAGATGCCCCGCCACAGGCCACCCATCGGTGAGTGGGCAGAGGGACTCAGAGATGTCCCAAGAAGGCTGGCTTCCCCCAGAGCTCAGCCCAAGCCTTCAGACTGTAAATGCCCAATGTTGTCCCCTCGGCCTCCCTCTTCTCCACCCAGGGTACAGAGCAGGGGGCCTGCAGGACACTGACACTGAGGATGAGTGTTGGTCAGACACAGAAGCAGTGCCCCAGCCGCCACCCCGGCCCCGAGACAAGCCTCTGAGCCGCAGCCAGAGCCTGCGTACGATCAAGAAGAAACCACTGGTGCGAGAGGTCAGTGGCAAAAAGACAAGAGGGAGGTGGGCTGCCCTGGCGCTTCAGCCTGGACCTCATGGTGCGCCTGCTCTCTCTCCCACAGGGCACCTCGCGCTCCCTGAAGGTGCGGACAAGGAAAAAGACTGTGCCCTCAGACGTGGGCAGCTAGGGTCTGCAGAGCCAGCCCAGTTTTACCTCGTGTTCTACAGGGCGCTGGGGGCTGTTTGAAGGGGCCCTCCGGCTGCACGTAGGGCCTGCCTGCACCAGCTGCCCAGGCTCTGCCCTCCTGACTCCTGCTGTTGGCGGCAGTTGCCGCTGGGGCCATGCACAGGGATGACCTGAAATGTACCAAAGCCAGCTGGGCCCAGGGTTCTATTTATAGTCTTTCTCATTCCTCTACCTTCGCAGGGATGGGACCAGAGCCCTCCCCAGACCCCTGCAAATGAAACCAAAGCCCACCCAGTTGTGTTCATTCCTTCCTGTCCTTCAAATTACTTGACAGCCTTCTCCAAGGCCTCGTGTGTGTGTCCTGGTTGTGTGTTTTGTGTTGGTGAATGAGGTCAGGTTTGTGCAAGATTTGATAAATAAATATGTAACAGTGTCCTGTTTCTCCTGGTTTGTATCCCCAGTCTTCACAGCGTACGTTATTAAACAGCTTAGGACGAGGGCTAAGGGACAGTCAGACGGCCAGAGGGACCTAGTCTTCTGCGGGAGACAACCATTGGTAAAGAACTGATGTGACAAGTGTGGTCACAGAAAGCTCTTGGAGACCCTTGAGAACACACATGGGAGAGCAGGGGACTAGCCCTGAGAGGTCAGAGCCTAAGAAGACTGCAGTCAGGAGGCGGGTGGGCACAGCCTTGACTCGAAGGTGCACTGGATGGTAGGTGGAGAAACCAGTGGGAGCATAGACCTGGAGGGGGCTTGGGCAGCACGATGTTCCCGTAGGGATTAGCTGGAGCTGTACACAGAATACACCTGGGGAGGCTGACTTCCTTCAGGGGCACCTGGGCGACTTTGAGTTTCTGTAAACACTCAGCTAACATGGGGAGCATTGCACCTCTGTAGAGTGGCCACTAGAGGGCAGCAGCTGCCAGGGTCTGGGCTGCCCCCAGTTTCCAGGTCAAGGAGGGTGGGGCTCAGAGAGAGGCTGGCCAGAGATGTGCCCTGCAAGGGCCTGGCCGCTGGTTGGCTGGAGGGGCCATGCAGAACTCTGGCCTAGCCTTTGATGGCCCTCCCTACTGCTCCCTGCTGCTCAGGTCATTGGTCCTCAGCCTGCCCCATCCACATGGAGCCTCCAGTGTTGTCCCCGACTCAGGCTCTGTGCCTGGGCTGGCTCCTCTCCATCCCCTCCCCTAACCCTGGGGCAGCGAGTCAGGCTTTGCCCTCTCCTGCCCCCGAACCTGGTCTCACTGCAGTGTCGTCCCAAGGCTGCTCCCCTCTCCCACCCCACGCCTGCTTTTCCTTACCTCTTCTGATTAAGCAAAGAGGTTGGTGAGAGTGTTGGGTGGAAAGAGGGGTGCAGGGGTGGTAACCGGGGGTGATCTGAGGAGTGTGGATTAACTCTTGGTGTGGGATTATCCGGGTTTTATTTGGGGGAGGTGCTTAATCTGCGGGAGTGGGATGGGGGTGGAGGTTAGCTCCTCACATCTTGGTGTTCACTGACATCCTATCTTGGCATTCCCTTGCACCATGGTGTTGACTTATCTCTTCATTTATTCATTCAAAACATCTTTATTAAGTATCTACCAGGTACCAGGCATGTTGCCAGATACTGGGGATGCAAAGTCTAATAATGGCCAGCACCGGGAACGTGACCACCCTGGCAGGTGCTGCTCTCAGCCCCTGACATAGTAATGTAATCCTCACAGCAATCTCAGGCGGTACATACTATTATATAATCTCCATTTTACAAATGGGAAACCAGGCATGAGAGGGCAGGTAACTTGTCTGAGGTCACACAGTAAGTGGCAGAATTGGGCTTTGAACCAGGCAGCCTAGCTCCAAAGTCAGTGTATTTGCACGCTGTGCATGACTAAAGTAAATGAGGTGTTTCTTGCTTAGGAGGCAAGGAGACTAGGATGTATCAAACATTCGTGTGCACCTGACCTTGTGCTGGGCACTTGACAGCGATGATTTCCTTGACTCTTCCCGACAAGTCTGAGGTAGTAGGTTATACTCATTTTACAGATGGAAAAACTGAGACTCAGAGAGGTGAAGCAACTTGTCCACGATTGTGCTCCCCGTGGGCGGGGGTCACATCCCCTGATGCAAACCTGCCCAGTGGCTTTGGTAGAGTGAATGGCAGGACCTGCACCTCTGAACTGAGAGAACAGAACAGAGGATCATGGGATGACTAGAGCAAAAGGAAGCAAAAACTCCAAGGGAAGGTGAGGTGGTGGGGGGGAGGCCTGGGGTTGTGGGGGCAGGGGGAGCTCTCATGGGAGCGGGGCTTCACCTGCCTTCATTCCCGGGAGGGGGCCTGAGGGTGAGCAGCAGAGTTGCGTGGGCCCCTGGGGTGACGGTGATGCTGTCTCAGGTCCGTGATCCCCACCTTACCTCGCAGCCTCTTTGCTGGCCCCGTGGCCCAACAACGCCTGCCTTCAGCCGTGCCGCTCCTGTTTCTGTGTCCTGAGCACGTCACACGTGCCAGCACCAGCCTCCAGACCTGTGCTCCTGCTGCGCGCATCTCTGGCCCTGTAAACGGTCTCTTTCCCCGCCTGTCATGACCTTCCTTCAACACCTGCCTTTCTGAGACGCCTCCCCTGACTTGGGACCCCTTCCCGAGCTCCTAAGCCTCCTGGTCTCTGGCCTGCTCACCCCGCCCTGGGCACAGAAGGCGGTGGGCTGCGCTGGTGTGCCCACCGCTCTCCCTTCCCAGCAGGCCTCCCTTACACTCAAATTGCTTCGTGTTCTCCAGCTCTGTCCACCTGGGCTGTCACGTGGCTCCATGCTGGTCTCCTGACCTGCTCTTCCTCCCCCACCCCACTCACCACTCTAGTGCTCTTTGCCCTTTGAAGCACACGCCGACCTCCCTCCCCCAGGAAGCCCTCGAGGCACCCCCTTGGAGTTGAGTGCTCATCCAGACCACACCATCTCTGTTCTTGTACTGACTTCTATTTTTGCCTTGAGCACATTGTATTTTCTCCCCTACTGCACTGTAACTTCATAAAGAACAGCCTGGCATCTTATCCACTTCTGTATCCCAGCCAGGAACAAATGGTGGTTTAGCCGAAGTGAAGGATCGTCATGCACGTGAAGGCCCACTGATTCTCTGGCGTCTGAGCCTGGGTGTCTCCTCCTCTGACAAGCTCCCCTGACTTCCCCAGGGTGGGACTCAGTGCCTCGTAATCATTCACACACCTGACTCAGGGGGTCACCCCTGGTTCTCAGCACAGGGCCTGCTGGCGAAGGAGCAAATGCACTGACTGCGCATCGGCTCCTGGAGGGCGGGATGGCCTTGCTTTCGTCTTCGTGCCCGTGTCTCCTTGGTGCCCATCACAGACCCTTGAAAATGGCAGGTCTCTCTGACACATGTTTGGCAAATGGCTGAGGCAGTTGTATGGGTTCCAAGACATCTTGGGGCCAGAGGGGAGGGCTGAAGAGAATTCCAGGTTGTGGGGCATTTCTGGCCAAGCACACAAGTGCTCCTGAGACTGGGGCATTGGGTGTGGGCTGGACTCCCCTCAGCGCCTGCCTGTTCCCTCTGAGAATCGCGAGGCATCTGCCACACTGCCTCCCTCTGCACGGTGCCTTTACCCTCTGGCCTGACCCCTAGGAGAAGGCGAGGCTGTGCTCTGGCCTGCCCAGGACCCCAGCCTTCCATTACCCATCAGTGTGCCCACTGCCTCCCAGGCAGGATTAGGGCTGGTCTGAAGCACAGATGTGCTGCTGGGCACCAGGGGAAGCAACCTAGTTCAGCCCCTGGAAGGCACACACCTCTGCGTGGCCCAGGTGCCAGCCCATTTGATAGGTGCCCCGGTCTCCTGGGTGTGGGTGTGGGGGGGCGCTCCCCGCCCACCTTGCCCCTGAGGGCCTCTCCATTGCCTTCAAGTGCCCAGGGCCCGTGTCCTTCCCTTCCCCGCCTCCCCCTGCTCCACCTTCCCTGGACCTTGCATTTGGCTTCTCTGCCCCAGCCTCTCAGCCGCTCTCTCTCTGCCTGCAGCCCCTCCATGTCCTGGTCCCCCTTCCCCGACTCTGGCCTCTATGTGTATTTTTAGCTGCCACTCTCAGTGGTGGCAGCATAGTTAGCCCCTCGTTTCAACACAACCCTGGCCCAGGAGTTGAGTTGGGGAGTCCTGGCTGGCAAGGCCCCACCCTTGAGGGGGTTGAAGAGATGAGCACTCAGGCCTTCGCCCCTAGTTCCCCATCCAGCACCAGGGACTGGTATGCCCAGTAGTTGGATAGGGGGGCAGAAGCCGGGTGAGAGGAGGATGCCCTCTGCGCAGAGTTGAAGTCGCTAGGTCAGAGGCTCTGAGCAGGGCAGAAGGGTAGCTTTCTCTGCCAGGTGGTTAGAGTGCCCTGAGGGGAGGTGGGGTGGGTGGAAGGGACAGCGGGGAGGCAAGGACTGAGAAGAGAAATTAGGTCCGGAAAGTGGGTGGGTGGGTGAGAGGGGACACAGGGGCATCTGCTGCAGAGCTTCCTTCAGGCTCCAAAAGCATCTCCATGCTTCCCTTCCTCTCCCCTCCTCCCAGGTCCTGGGAGGATTTGCCCTGTACTCCCCCTCCCCCATGCCCCCGCCCCAGGCGTTGCCACGAGGGTGGGGGGTGGGGTGGGGGGAGGCCTGCCTCAGCTGTCTGAAGGATGGAGGGGCTGGGGAAATAGGGCTAGGTGCCCAGACAGCCGCGTGTGTGGGAGGGGATGTCCTCAGATGCCCTCCACCCGGCAGTCCCCGCTCTGACGTGGGTGCCCCCCCTCTCCCCGCCCGGATTAGTGGCAGCTTGGCCTGACTCTCCGGGGCTCCTTCCCCCGCCCCCGCCTGCTGCCCTCCCCTGGGCAGGGGGCTGCTCCACCCGAGGGGCACTGTGCTTGCCCAGGTAAGGGGCTCTGGGGACAGCGTGAGGGCACTGGCTCGTGAGTGCTGCTGCGCTTGCCAGCATGAGTGTGTGTCTCTGTGTGTTGCGTGTGGCAGTGTGTGAGGGGTTGCCGTGGGGCAGGGTGGGCCCACGTGTGTCTGGGGGTTCTGGTCAGCTTGCCTTTGTCCACCGACCCAGGACTGTCCCCACGTGTTGTGTGGCTTTCCTTCTGTGTTTGTGTCTTTTGTGTGTCTCCTCAGCTCTGCTCAGTCAGTCCTCAGGCTACCAGGGCTCTGTGGGCCTGTGGCATGGGCCGTGGAGCAGG